CATTGCAAAGCATTCGCTACTTGTCTTCATTTCGAATTTTTTGCTATTTCTGTGATTGTTCTATGTTGACTGATCTGTCATAGTTTCGGCCTGCAGTAGATTGTAAATTTTCTAGTTTTCTTTCACCGACACTTTCATTTAATTTCCAAAATTTTCCCACTTCTTACCGCGCGATTCTCGTAATTTTCCATTCGATTTTCCAGTTCAACCAACTTTGCCCCGACTTTCATTTTACTTTTTATTTAATTTTCAAATTTCCAAGCGAAATCTTTGCCAACTACTGAAATAAAATTATCACTAGGATTTCTGTGAATGTAATTAAAAAGGAAAAAACACTATGTTCCACGTTGGATTGATTTTTATTCCGTGCAAATTTGCATAAATTTTCATAAATTTTTATAGTATTTAGTGGATGAAATGAACTTCTTAGATTTTTATTTCTCTAATTAGGTTTGTGAACAAAACACGAATACAATGGAATCTACAATATTTTACCTACCATGTATTTTAAATACAATATAATATAAACATTATAAATATAATAAATATTGTACTTTAAATATTTCGTACATTTTCCCCATGGGTTGCACGGGTAAAATTTCTACAATTTTAAATTTTCTCGCTTGAAAATGCGCGAAAGCTATACTTGTCACTTACTTATCATGGTCTTCCCGGTGCACGAAGGCCATAGATCGCTCGCGAAGGTTAACGACACCGCGAATGCCAAGATCAGTGTCAACTTGCCGATACACCTATCGATCGTCATCTTCTCTCACCTTTCCCTCCTCGACGAAGCAATCGTCCGAATTGCTGTTCGCGATCGTGAGCAGAAAGTTTCAGACTGCCGGGCAGCAAGTCGGTAAAACGTTTAAAGTTATCTGGAACGCGTGAACCGGTAGGTCAATCGGACTATAAAATCGGCCGATTTACTAGCGAGAACCGGTCGTTGGAAGCAGACAGACTAGTAGCTGAACTCGGTCGTGCGACTGCTTTTATATTTACCTGTCTCATAGACTGGAACGTGTAATTGTGGTTCACATGTGGTGGGGATCGGTAGGACAGGGTGATCGGCTCCAAGGCCATCGAGGAAGCAGTTTTTTTTTTTTTTCTTTTTTTTTCTTTTGCAACAAATTCAGACGAAAGTTGCAAGAGTTTTTAAATGTCTCGAGAAATAGTTTGCAATTTGCGAAGAAGTTTCTGAATTTCAAGATCAATCAGATTTGGCTGTAGTTTTCATTCAATAGCTAGGCATACGTTAGATCTAGGTTCAATTTTTCTTTCTCGCCGTGTTCTTTTAGTAATTTTTCGTTCCACTTGTATTTCTCTGAAATTAAAAAGAACTTTTGAGAAGAAGAAATGCTTCTTGTTGATGATGAGTATAGCAGCAGGGTTAATGCTTTTTGTTCAGGATTGTTTGAAGTAGGTCAGGTTTAACAGTTTCCGTTTTAGAAAGTGTTTTTTCTCAAAAATCAGAGTCAGAGATAGTCAGATTTTCCAAACTTCAGTTTCTTAGACTTCAAACTAAAGTCTAGATTAGGTTTAAGGTTTCAGATTCAGGTCCTCATTTAGATCTAGGTTCACATCCAGATTAAGTTTCACACTTTTTGTTTTTTAGATTTAGCAATTTCTGGTTTAGAAATATTAAAACACAGTCAGATTTATGTTTAGTTCAATGTTAGATTTAGATCTAGGTCTAGTTTAGATTTAACTTATTTGTTTGTACTCCTAGATTTAAGTTTAGTTCAACTTAGGTTTGGGTGAAGGTCTAGAACTATATCTACATGAACTAAAATAACTATATAATTACATAGTTATGTGTTCAGCTATATAGTAAGCTAGATTTAAGTTTAGTTCAGTTTAGATAAAGGTCTAGAACTATATCTACATGAACTAAAATAACTATATAATTACATAGTTGTGTGTTCAGCTATATAGTAAGCTAGATTGAAGTTTAATTCAGTTTAAATAAAGGTCTAGAATGTCTATATCTACATGAACTAAAATAACTATATAATTACATAGTTATATGTTATATAGTAAAATAATAAAGTAAATTATACATAGTTAGCTACGAAACGTGTGTCTAAATTTTAGTGTTTAATTTAACTTAAGATTCCAGGTTCAGATTTAGATTTAAATTATGTTTAATTTGTTAGCTGCGTGCACAATAAATTGCCATTTCTTCGTGACGAATATATTCGTCATACGCAGCTAATGCCTTGACAATTAAGTCTAGATTATAGTTAGATCCAGAAGCTGGCTTTAGGTCTAAGCTTTAGGTTTGATTTATGCTAATATATCGAGCATATTTCAAAAGATTATTCGCCATGCATTCAGTGTATAATCACTGAATAATCGCTGTAAGCCATCGTGTGCGTTCAATACTATTTTTATCCTCGGCTTTTACATTTCACGTTTAACAAATGATTAGATTATCGGAATTTCCCTCTCGCGAGTCTACGATTTAGTATGCGGATAAACTTGGACATATTACGAATTTTCTAAGATTAGAGAATACGTGTATCCTTGTTAATTAATTCTGCTTATAATTGATTTAACAATAATAATAATTAATTAAACTACTTTCAATTGTCATGCTATGAAATGGTAATTTTAATGTATATTTCACACTCGATTATCAGTTCAAATTAAATTTGATCTAAACTCTAGTTAAGTATAAGTTCAGATTACATTCAGCTGAATTGGGATTTTGGTCACGTTTTTTTTTTTTTATTAAATCTGAGTTGAGTAAGGATTGTCACTGTTAGATCTGTTACAGGATTCAATTATTACCTAAGTTATGTCAGCTTTTAATCTACTGAGGGCCAAACAATAATTTGTCGTGATTTCACAAGTATTTCATTTCTTTATATTTTTCATAAAATCATCTACAGGATGATCTATGGGGGACAAACAGTGGTGAAAAGAATATTAATAGTATTACTAGTACATAGTCATATCAAACAGTGCTATTAGTTTTATGTTAGCTCACTGGAATTCAATTTTATTTTATATCTTTTATTTTATTTTATTTTATATTACCATAAGAGAGACATCAGTAATAATAAGGTAAAATTGAGTTAAATTAATAAGAGAAAAATAATGAAATTTCAAAATCAAGCAATTCTACTTGCAAACTTTGTGATAGTACTTTATGTATCAAATTTATTAGTAATTTCTCAACTTCAGTAAAAGAAAATGTTTGAATAAAATTATCACATGTATGATAGAATTAAACAAAAATTTCGTTCAAACGATTATACAGTGAGCTAATTTACATTTATATAGTTAATTAGATTAAATAATTTCTAACAAGATTGCTCAGTAGTGATACTTTCAATTTAATTTAATTTCGTTACTAATCCCCTTGGATGAACTACAGTCTAAATAGTTTATATTCTTATGGTTCCCAGTGACCCGTTCAACTGACCTTCACAATGTTCAAAAAAATATAAGCGAAATATTGCTATAATATACCTATACGGGTTAAGTCGAGAAGTTAAGTTGATCTGTCGATTTTTCTCCAAAATTTAATATTCTGCGGCAAGAGTGAGAAAAGACCGCTATCGAATTAACGTAGAATTTTTGCCAAGTTAACGTACACACACACACAGGTATTCACGGAAGGTATTTCTACAAATTGACGTTGCAGCTCACGTCTGCGTATTATGGGATTAACGACGCTTTCCACTGACGTTGCCTCGAGTTGATATTCCAGCGGGTTGAGATGGAGAAAGTTTCAAGCTTGTGGGAGGGATGCTGCGCACCTTTACAGAGCTGGCGATTATTTCCAGCCGTCTAATTGTTTCTTATTAAGCATCATCTGCCCTGACGACTCTCCTCCCGTTCGTTTCGAGTGAATATAATTCGAGGAGTCCAGTGCGAATCTTAATAATCTTCATTAGTCTCATTAGAATGGTAAGAATTAACGAGAAAATTCAATGATTATTGTGTAGTAAAAATTTCATCTAGTTAATAGGGAACAGGTAAAACGAATGTATGTTTTATACAGTGATTCGATTTTTATTTATTTATCTGTTGTTAATAAGGCACAACAATAAATACAGAAAGGAAAAAGGAATATTATAAATTCTGATAGTAAGAAACATAAAATAGTGAAATATTAATACTATAATATTTTACACTGAATCAATTGAAACGTGTGATATCAGTCTTTCCTTCTTTCTGCATTATTATTGTTGTACCCATAACCCATCTGAATGACAATAAATAAATGAAACGAAGTATTGATTAATTTCACACTCGATTAAAATATTGTTGGAAAAAAGGAGAAACAATGAAATTCCACTGGACGCCTAAATCATCCTCGCGAAATTTTGATAACGTTGATAACAAGCGATCGATGATTTTTGAAACGTGCGCGCGTACGCATGCATCCTCCTAGCTTCTTTAAGGTGGAGAATTTCTATTTGAGAAAGTTGTATCGATAAATGATACTCCAGAATCTTGAAACGATCGATCCATATTTAGCACGCGTAGACTCTCGCTTTCATTATATTTTCACTCGTCCGCGGATTTACGACATATCGGATTCACAATTTCGCGCGCGAGGATTTCATTTGTCCCTTTATGAATTCAGCCACGAATGAGAAGCAATGGTGCTTATTCTCGAAGAGAGAAAAGAAAAGAAAAGAATAGAGGAAGCGAAAAAAAAACTAGCTCTTCTGACATCTCTTGCTGAGAAAATTTCGTATTCCACGGTAGAATCTCAGATGTATTTCTCACTTCTTGGCTTGAAAAATCTTCGGCGTTACACACACGTGCGAGAAATTCATGCCAACTACAGGGGAGAATTATCGGGCGGAGATATCGTTTAAAGGTAAACGGCAATTACAGAGCCATAGAGGAGAGACAGAAGGAAGGTTTTAAATGCCGGGAACGTGAGTTAAGCCGGCGCGCGCGGCAGTTTGTTAAAAGCCGAAATTTTAGCACGGAATGATTTATCTCTCGGCGGCGAAACGTGTGCGAGGCTGCTAGCGCATGCACGTCGCATCCAGCCCGAGCGTTGTGCTGCACTTTGGAATGCAAATTCCACTTCGCCACTTTGCACCGCCACCGCTGAGAGAATTTTCTTCCCCGCGGTGAACGTGCCCTGCGTTTCGCCTTGTCTGCTTCGATTTACTTGTGCCGCGGATATCTTCTATCGGTTCTCTCAGCTCTGCCACGCGGTCTGCCAATTTCATAGGAGAAAGATACGGTGACGTGGTTTTTTTTTTTTTTTAGAATTTAATTTAATTTCGCGATCGTGGAATCTATCTTTTTTGTTCATCTCTGCGAACATTTTTCGACCACACGCACGCGTGGATCACGATGTTAAATGAATGCGAGAGTTAAGATCAAGTAATTAAAAATACGTGAACGAGCACGGAAATTTTTCATAATAAAAATTTAACATTTAGTATCTTAAATTTCTTAAACTTAATAATAACTTAAAAATTTCATTTGTAATTTCTTCTCTGTGTTTATCTATACATTTCTTCTATGGTCCTGTGTATAATTAATTATTTAAATGTATTTAATTTTAATGATCACAGTCGATTTCTCGCCTTAAAATCGTAAAATTCCCCACTAGTCTGCAACTTTTCATTTAAAAGGACTCGAAATTTTCAAAGTTTCTAATTATATATATGTCGATCGAATTAAAAATTATTGGAATTTTAGCAGTTTGAATCGTGGTGAATTCGAATTTTTCGAAATCTTTCGCGTAGAAGGAAATTTCGCGGAACTTCAAAGAAATACGACACGATGTCACAGAATTTACTTCCTCTCTGATTTCGTTTTCCGATCGTTGAGCATTTTCTTGGTATTGTTCGCGAGTTTTATTATAGTTCGAAACTTTGAGGAAAGTTGGGATTATCAGAGGATCGAAGGCCGTGGAATTTCGGACTTGCTTCTCCAAGACTTTTATTGGAATTTTAAATCATTAGTATTTGGAATTGCG